TTAAGCTGTACATGTACTCCATGTAAACATGCTGGCACACGGCCCTCTGAACAACCATATTCTTCCCCTCCTGGACAGAATCTGTAACTTCTGGATGCTTGTCCATCAGCAGTTATCCCCATGATAGCCCAATGGCCCGCCCCAGGCTGTCAGAGGCTCCGGAAACCTCTGCTGGGTCTCATTTATCAAACAATGCGTAGAATCCTTACTAAAACCGTACTTAAGCTCAGCAAAAAAAAAATGTACTTCCGCCAAATATGTTTGAGATCTATCAAACATGGAGTACGCACAGCTGCACGCAATCTCCGCTTCATAAATCAGAAACTAACGAGACAGGTTCTCAGCTGCTTCCGCCCTCACCACGCCCACCTACTACCATAAATGGTCAATGCAAAGTGCCTTGTGGATCTCAAGCATATACATAAGCCGGCTGTTGCAGCACTCCGCCAATGACATGGCGACCGTACATCAAGGCAGATCAAAGAAGTGCTATTTCACATGTAACGGAATGAAATGACTGTTTTCCGCCAAGCAGAAATAGCACGCCGATCTGCTGGAGTTCAAACTGAGCGTCAGACTGGAGAAGATGCTCTCCAGCTTTCCACGTCATCTTTAACACCAGTTCAAAGCGTTCTAGAGAAGTTGTCGGAGTGGCCAATACGTAACTTTCCTCTTCAGCCAAAAGAACCAACGACAAGCTGGATAAAATCTGTTGCTGTTCCAACTGCTGCAACGGTTCCTTTCAAAATAAAAGCTGAACCATCACGACCCAGTTTTGGGTCTCGCTAAATGCCAACAAACTGTTGTGACCCGGAAGTATCTCAAGACTGGTGGTCGGCTGCCGCGGCTGTTTCTACAGGCTTCGGCTCCATAAAGGTCAAGCTGGACCTTCACACCTCCTGATCTAGACGGAGACTTCCGCTAAGGGTACGTAGACCGACAGAATGGCGTCGAATGTGTAATCAAACATGACTCAAAAAATAAGAATTATCCAGACTATTTAAAAAAAGATAAAGATATTGTGCTTGATGAAACCAAAGACATTGCAAATGAATTTAATAATTTCTTTGTAAATGTTGGCTTTAATTTAGCAAAAGATATTCAAGAGTCAAGAATTAATAATGATCTAAATAAACATATAACTCAGAATGTGTCCTCCATGTTTATTGGTGCTGTAACTGACGGAGAAATAATTAACATTGTGAAAACATTTTTTTAAAAAGTCCACTGACTGTTTTGGTATTGATATGATATTACTAATATCATATTAGTGAAAAGTATTATAGAATATATAGTGAAACCTTTTGCATATACTACCTGTTATCTATCCTTCCGAACTGGTGTGTTTCCCTCACAAATGAAAATAGCAAAAGTTATACCAATCTATAAAAACGGAGAGAAATGTCACTTTACCAATTACAGGCCAATATCTCTCAGAGGCGGAAAGAGTACTAAAATTTCCTACTTTAGTACAGTTTGGTACAAAATAATAACTAAATACAAATTAAAATTATACAGTCAAAGGGAATACATTTGTACATGGGTGAATGACTCATTGTAGTGCAGAGGTGGAAAGAGTACTAAAATTTCCTACTTAAGTACAAGTACCAATACTTTGATAATTTTTTACTCAAGTACAATTTAAAGTACTTGCCTAAATTTTTACTAAAGTAAAAGTAAAAAGTATCGTAAACAAAATATACTCAAAGAAAGTTACTTAGTTACATTTTTGTCAGCATAAGGTTGGCTACATCAAAGTAGTGCTAAATCACAACGCCAGTTCACAATTCGCTCGCACACACACACACACACACACACACACACACACTATCTCAAACACACACACTCACACTCAAACACACACAGTTTGATGGAAGGATTTCTATCCAATCAGTGAGAACAGGACGTGCACATTGATTGGACGAGGTTTTTCTAGGATTGTATGTTTCAATTGTGATTAAAATTATTCTTTATTTTGAGAAAAAATATTTTTTTAGATGCCATCAGTATGTGAGGTATCTCAACGTTCTCATGACAAAACTCTAACATGAGACTGTGCTCTAACCTGGCACATAACAAGCTAAATGAAAGTCAAACATTTCAGATGGACCGTATGACAGCTGCTAATGTTGGCCCTGCCCTACTTTACCTCTACATTACAGTTCCTTTATCCATGTCCATCCTAGAGCTCCTCTCTGACCTTCATGCTTATTTAGAGCAGCTGATTTTTAAAGTTAGCAGAGTTCATCCTTGGTAGTGGGTTCACTCACTCATTTAACCGTTCACCACTGAAATCAGTTTGTTCATTCCAATCCTCCTAAATAATCCTCCAATCATCCAACTGGAATCCTTAAGGGTCCCGTAACGTCCATCCTGTCAGAACAGGCCTTGGGAGCCCAGGTGTTACTAGAACTAACGGTGTCTCCTCACCAGCGTGAGCCTCCACACTGTGAAGGTTGGTCTCCAAACATGAACTTTAAATTCATGCATTTATCTCCTCTTGTAACATTTTAACATGTTTTAAAAGGCTTGTATCATGATAAGTTACACCTCCCAGACCAAAGATAAGATAATACGTTATCATAAACACTGTAGAAACGTCATTATTTATGAAATATATGTTATTTTCCTGAGGCATTACTTCAGCCTGTGGAATGAAGCTTGCATCCTCTGCTGGAAGAAATCCCATCAACAAGTAGGCTGCATGCTGACACAGCAGGATTTACAGTCCAGTGTGGTTACAACATTGTTCAAACTGAAGTCAAAATTCCAATAAAACAAATAACTTTTACAAAAATAGGAGCTGAGGACTGCCATTGTTTCTAGGGCTATACTTCCTCCGTTTCTGGGTCATTGATCTGCTGCACCTGCAGGGCAAGAGACCAGAGAAGAGGGTGGAGGTGTTGAGGGTGTTCAGGCGGGTTAGCAGACTGGACAGGACAAAGGGAGTGTGTGGTAGAACAATGGTAAGGCCTTGTGTTGGAACTGGAGCGAGACAGTGAGTCTGCCTGGCCGCTGGCTGCTCGGCTCTGCAAGGAAACTAAAGCGCCGCACAGGAAAGAGCGTTCTCTAGAGCAGCCTATGAGTAGGACACACACACACACACACACACACACACACACACACACACACACACACAAACACACTCTTACACAACGCGACCTGACGCAAACAATGGATCAGTAGATTCCCCATCCTGACCGAGCCCAGTTGTAACTCCAGGGAGTCATCTCACACAAACTCAAAGAAAAGACAAACTGTCCTGTCAGATAAATGCTTACACAGGCAGATTCAAACAATCAAAAGCTTTCAGAGAAGGTTCAGCCCTCTGATTTGGTTGCTGACACCTTTTCTTTCTATCTTAGTTAGAAAGGGCAACCTGAGGCTATGTGATGTCTCAAATTTAAAAGTGTTTACATCAAGAGCTTTCAAGGCAGTGACGTGTACTTAAAGTGCAACAAGGTGGTAGTGGTAGAGGGATAGATGGACTGTAAGACTTCATTACATGTCTGATACAACAGTGAACACCAAATTTTGCACCTGAACACAGAAATATTTGGAGGGATTTAAAGGCCAGGAGAAGGAGTTTGTTTTACATGGAAACCAGAAGTAATGTTTTCTGCTGTTTTATATACTTAAGCCACAAGGAGCTACTGAGTATGCCGACTCAGCTAATGCTACACACTTGCTAGCTTGCTTCTTCAGCCAAGGCTCTTACAAACAGCGAGGAAACGCACAAATAGAAATAATTTCTTCAGCAGGGAAAATTCCAGCACTATGTTGATAGGCTCGTTATCACTATCAGAATCCTACCGGAAGATCCACGCATGTGTGTGTCTCCATTTTACCGGGCCAGCGTAAAAGCACCATTTTGCAGACCATTTCCAATATCAGGGGTCTCATTTGTCAAGCTTGCTTACGCACAAATCAGGGTCGAAAAACTGCGTAAGCAACTTTCCACACAAACTTTGGTATTTATTAAACAAAACGTAGCGGAAAATTATGCGCAACTTTAAGTTGACTAAGGACCTGGCTTACACACATGTTGGACACGGAGAGCACCCGCAGTGCTGCTGCTGAGAAGATACAATTATGAATTCCTCCAGCAGCATTATCACTTGTACCGCTTCCTGCGCACACAGAACAAGACCAGAAGGCAGGAGCACATTACACCTGTCTTAAACTGCATTGGCTTCCTGCACGTTTCAGGATCGATTTTAAGGTTATTTTAATGGTTTTTAAATGTCTTAATGGTCTTGGGCTTTCTTATCTCTCAGAAGTGCTTCATAAATGCGAGCCTTCGCGGTCCCTGCGCTCCTCTGGCAGCCATCTCGTCATTCCAAAAGTCAGGACACGCTCCCAAGGCGAGGCATCCTTCCAGTTTTATGGCCCTCACCTCTGGAACAGTCTGCCGGAGGACCTCAGGGCCGTAGAGTGTTCTTGTTTTAAAGGCCAGGCTCAAGACTCACCTTTTTAGCATAGCTTTTAATTGAATTTGATCTATTGCCTGTTTTACCATCTTTTATTTATTTTATCAGTGTTTTATTTAGATTTTTTCCTTGATCTGTGGTTGCCGTCGTTAATGGTGAAATGCTGTAACAAACCGGTCCATGCATATGCATGAGATCCACAAGGCACTTGGCATTGACCAGTTATGGCAGAAAGTGGGTGTGTTTGGCTGTGCAGTGGCGCAGTGGTTAGAGCTGTTGTCTTGCAGCAAGAAGGTCCTAGGTTCGATTCCCGGCCTGGGATCTTTCTGCATGGAGTTTGCATGTTCTCCCTGTGCATGCGTGGGTTCTCTCCGGGTTCTCCGGCTTCCTCCCACAGTCCAAACACATGACTGTTAGGTTTGTCTGTCTAAATTGTCCTTATGTGTGTGTGTGTGTGTGTGTGTGTGTGTGTGTGTGTGTGCATGATTGTTTGTCCTGTGTGTCTCTGTGTTGCCCTGCGA